GCTCCGCCTAACCGAGTAAGTAAAGAAACGATGAAAGTAGTGGTATTTCACCGGCGATGTTGCCATCTCCCACTTACGCTACACCTCTCATGTCTCCTTACAGTGCCAGACTAGAGTCAAGCTCAACAGGGTCTTCTTTCCCCGCTAATTTTTCCAAGCCCGTTCCCTTGGCAGTGGTTTCGCTAGATAGTAGATAGGGACAGTGGGAATCTCGTTAATCCCTTAACGAAAATATCTTTTTCACCTTTTATTAAAAATGATCGGATTGAAAAATGTCTAACAGCCTTTTTTGCAAGCGCACAGCATCCGTTCCTTGCAGGCGCACAGCACCCGTTCCTTGCAGGCGCACAGCACCCGTTCCCTTCAGGCGCACAGCACCCGTTTCCTGTAGGCACACAGCACCCGTTTCCTGTACTCGCACAGCACCCGTTTCCTGTAGGCGCACAGCACCCGTTTCTTGTAGACGCACAAGCACCCGTTCCTTGTAGACGCACAGCACCTTTGTATTTGCGCACAGCACTTGTTTGCACAGCAGTTTTATATAAATAATGAAAAAAAAAAAAAATACTTACCTTATCCAAAATTCTCCTAGAGAGAATTCTGCTGGAATCCTTATAAATCCTACCCACAAATAAGAAGAAAAAAAATATAAAATAATATGTAGAATACTACAAAGCGCGATCTTTGCATGACCTTTTATTTTCAATGAAAGACATTTTCAAAACACTATGAGAAAGCTACTCTTTGTAAAGAATATATTTCGAGATATTTCAAATTTTGTCTTGAAAATGTAAAAATATCTCATAAATTAATCACTTTTTATTCACTTTTAAATAATTTTACCTTCATATTTTTATCTCTTTTCGGTCACACTTCCCGAGAATCCCGTACCGGTCACACTGGGTAAAATACACCCCCAACGTGTTTGCACGTGTATAAAAAATTGTAGGTGACCTTAAAAAAAAAAATATCCTGTTGTAGTTTAAGTTTTCCTTAAAAAGACTGTATAAGTTTGATTTGCAAAAGATTAATTTAACATATGTAAAAAAATTGTTGAAAAAAAGTCGGAAAAGTGACTTTTCACAAAAACTAATTAACTTTTTCAATTTTTAAAATATTTTAATTTTTCAAACGGTTTTTTCATCCTCAGATGACGCACTTTTCACTGATTATTGCAGTTTATGCGGCCGTTCCAAAAAGTATGTTGATTTTGAGGTATAAAGGTGCAATTTTTTTTGCGGAAAAAATGCCGAGAGAGAATTAACGGGCCGAAAAATATACCACCGACGGAGATCGATACTTGAAGGTCCAAACTACCTGTAGATGGCGGCACAAGGCCCATTTCCATTGGTTTACTGGGTCGTTTTCGAAGTCAAAAAACGCTGGGGTGTATTTTACCTAGTGTGACCGAAAAGGGTTATACATGGAATATTAATTTTTACATTTGTAAAATTGAATACGTCTACAAAATGCAATCAAATTTTGAGAAATTTTTTTTTCAACAATCAATTTCTTACATTATTCTGTATATAAAAGTATTAAAGTAAAGTTCGAAAAATAAATACTTTACAAAATATTATATTTTTTAAATTAAAAGTACAAAATTTTTAAAATACCACGAAATTCGTAACTAAAGATAGCTTTATTATGGTGTTAGTTATAATGAAAAGCTCTAAAGGTAAGCTAAGCATGCGCAATAAAAAGTGAAAATTTTAATTTAAAAAATTCAAGGTGACCTTCATCATGTAACATTGACATCGCCACCTACGGTCAAACTGATAAGACTAGTAAATAAATATTTTTAAGCCCTACAACTTTTGTCTGAAACATATCTTTCTGAAATGTATAGTTTATAAAAACCGATAAATCTCCCCGAACGTGACCACCACCATACTTACAAGAGTATCAGCTGAAGAGGATGAGCACAAATATTTCATTGTGCATATTTCAAAAACACATAAATTGAGGAACATGTTAAGACTGAAACCAATTTGCTATCTATATTTTAACTGGTACTTTACTCTTGTACGTATGAGGTACTCATGTTCGAGTTGGCTAAAGGCCAACGTGTTTTTATTTTTTTGCTACGTGCCCTACGAGCGGAAATATTGCGACGCAAAGTTGAAATGTGAAAATTTTATATTAAAATATTTCTACTAACTTACAATATTTCTACTAACGTCGACGTATCTCAATAATATATGACATATATATATCAGATAACAGTAACTTTTATTTTTCCGACACTGGTCGATAGACTTATCGATCAGGAAGAAGATTTCTATTTAGGTAAATTAGATTTTTAAAACACTATAGTAAAGTATTTTTTCATTAAGAACTTTTGGAATTATAAGGTTTGAAAGTTCTAGTATTTTGACATAAAGTACAAAATATCTTGTAAAACATTAAGTTTTCGGTAATGTTACCTTAATACTTTTATACACAGAATAATGAGGAGTTCCTTTAACAAAAAATATGTAATTTGCAACACGCATTTGCATACTTTTTCTTAAAAGCAACTATGCCTTTTTTATAGCAATTGATTCGTCTCATTATTCTGTGCATAAAAGTATTAAGATAACATTACCGAAAACTTAATGTTTTACAAGATATTTTGTATTTTATGTCAAAATACTAGAACTTTCAAGCCTTATAATTCCGAAAGTTTGTAATGATAAAATACTTTATTATAGTGTTTTGAAAAGCTCTCGAGATTAGCTACAAGAATATTAAGAAATTAAAGCTGTCGTTTACGTGAGCTTTAAATGACCATTCATGGTTAAACCAATGACACCATCTTATGGCCCCCTCGAAACCAAACAACTTTTGTCTGAAACATTTTTCTCTCCCGGGCTTGGTTTTCGAGATATTCGACTGGATAGATTAAAACGGTCCACCCTGTATATTGTATAATCAGATCCGAAATTTGGGTACTATAAAGTACTAACTTGGGTATACTAACATAAAGATAAAATCATATTTCCAAATTTCGGATCTGATTATATATAATCATATAAAATTAGATCTTTTCATATCTAATAATATATTTTTACATCTGACCATATTATACATTATTTTTCTCGAGCAGTAGCGCTGATATTGAACCTGTTCTTTTTAGCTAAACTTCTTGCACGTTGGGGAGAAAAAGAGAAAATTGTGCAAGAAATTTAGCTAAAAAGAATAGGCCTATTATCATCCATGCAATTAATAAATTTCTAAAATTTGCAATAAGAAACGTTTTGTAAATATTGTAAATATCGAGACGATAGATCCTTATCAAAACACTTATTTAATTTACTTTTTTAATATAAATATAAAAATCTAAACCGTGGCACTTTGTTCTAATAGAAGAAAGACGAAAAAGAACCGTAAATGGTAGCTTGTTAATATTTACGAGCAGTATAATTAGTTCTGTAATGCTTCTACTCGAATATACCTTACGTTGATTTTTAAATTTTTTAACAGATTAAATCAATGTAAAAATATCAAAATGTATTGTATTTATTTCATAAAACCAGTTCAAAAAATATAAACTATATTGTCTCTATTAACAATACGATTTGGTACTCATGTTCGGATCGGTCAAAGGGGATAAACACGGAAATCTCATTGGGCATATTTTAAAAGCACATAAATTGTGGAACATTTTAAAACTAAAACCAATTCGCTATCTGTATTTTAATCAATTGTTTATATTTACAGATCATCTTAAATACTTCTTATGTCCGTTTTTACCAACGTCGTTTAACTTGAACCTTAGTTCAATTCACTCTTTGTCTGTTTCTAAGAAAGTTCATTCGAAAAAGACAAGGAGTAAATTGAACTAAGATTCATTCGTATGTATTTGACCGGAAATGAATGTCCGGGAAAAAATCTACCATATGAAATCGTTTGTATTTCGTATGAAGACTTTTGAAGTGCAATTGAAAAGGTTTGTGAGTCATTCGTTTAATTGTAATTAATTAATTATTTTTACACCATGCATTTAGCCGAAATAGATAAAATAATAAAAGTTTTTATACGAAATCGTTTGTATTTTGTATGAAAAGTTATGAAGTGTGATTAAAAAGGTTTGTGAGTCACCCAGATAATTTTAATTAAATATTTATAAACTCGGTAATTAGCCGAAATATAGATTTTTAGTTATTTATGTTAAAAGAAGAAGGCGCTAGTGTTCCCGAAGGTCCGTCTGCAATCAGAATTAATATGAACGTTTTAAAAATTATTTTATACTGAAATAAATAAATATACAGGCTAATAAGCCTGTAGCTATAAGCGATAGTTGCTAATTAAGTTTGTCACTCATATTTCCATTTTGCAGAGGACCTCCGTAACGAGATCAAAGATGTACACCAGCTGTGCAGGGTGAAGAGGTTATCTCAAACGCCCTTAATTGGGCCACAGCCCAATTAAGAGCGACTCAAATGTCATTACCGCTGAGAAGTACTTCTTGCCATTTGAGTCAGCATGTCAGAGCTAGTCACTACGGATTGTGGTGACACAGCACTGGACTGCCTGCAAAAGTTAATCGCATATAGCCATCTCACTGGCAATGTGCCTGATTCAACGGAGCCTAACAAGCTGCTGATTGTGCGCATTGTCGAGACAATTTGCGGTTGCTTCACCGGTCCACAGACCGATGAGAGTGTGCAGCTGCAGATTATTAAAGTTCTGCTGACTGTAATGACAAGCCAGCATGTGGAGGTATACGAGGGTACGGTACTGTTAACAATTCGTACTGTTTACAACGTTTACTTATCGTCGCGCAACCTGGTGAATCAAACAACAGCCTGTGCGACTCTCACGCAGATGATCAACGTAATTTTCGCGCGAATGGAGACTCAGGCGGAGGAAGAGAACGTGAGGCTTGATGGGGAACATCAGCAGGAGGGTTCTGTCATAGCAAACGGCAAAAATGAAGCTGAGCTAAGTCTTAGTTAGCTAAGTCTAACTAACTCATCTTTATGAAACTTTACGTTGCGTGCGTCTATTTAATGACGATGGATGTAGAAAGCTCTTCAAATCACTTCGAGAGGATTATCAAAAGCGATCTCCTTATATCGCATATTTAATCAGATGTCGTCAGGGATTGTTGTCGACATTTGCTCACTTAGATAGGTACTGTTTATATATAAATATCATCTTTGTATGTAATGTATAAGTAAATGTAAGATGTTTAAACGTAAGATGTTAATTGTTTAATAATAATATTTTTCATCCTATCAATAATCATCTTGTATCCGTTTGTGTGAGGGTATTTTTGGAAAAAAAGAAGGCTTTCTTCCTGCGTTTCTGCAAAGAGTTTAAAAAGCTTACGTTACCTGACAAGAAACAGGATCTCGTGGATAATTTTCTAGGGAAGGTCCACGTGGAAATGGACAACAATCCGATTTGGCAATGTACATGAATATAATTATTTATCTCGCAATTGACCTTAGCGAAGTGCTCAGAGACGTCTGAACTTACTTTTTACTTTCAGCGGCAAGCGCCAACCAGTTAGATTTGGCGAGAGTCGTGGTGGAAAGAACCGTCATGGCACGGGTATACCACAATGCGCTCTATCTAAATGAAGATGGAGATGTATATAGGGACCAGCTTTTTCACGGTCACATCAATAAGTTGGCAAAGGTCGTAACTCCAAATCACAGGGACCTACGCATTTCAAAAGTTTATCATTACGAATGCTCCTGGTCATGGGCGCAAACTGAATTGGCTGTGATATCGGCGTATAAGACTCCTAGAGATAAGTTGCAGTGTGTATTTCGTTGCGCGACTACCATCAT